AGCACAGGTTCAGGAATGGAAGAATGGACAGAGCAGTACAAAAGGGGAGTGAAGAGGAGAAGGAAAAATGTTTGGAAATAGGAAAGATTTCTTCTCAGTCTAGAAGTCTCAAAGGATGGCAGTAGGGTTCTAGGAACTTTTGACTATATCAGTACTCTGCCTTTACAAACTGACTGCCTGTTGTCAAAGTAAGGGGATATTTTTGTGTTGACCAGAAAGCTTATCAGGCAATCTTTAATCATTGAATATTGCGCACATCCTTAGTTCTCCAACCCTAAGTACTGACAGCTGCAAACTACATCAGAATCTTGCTAATTCTGAGACAAGCATTATTGTCTCTATCTGACGAAGTGGGTCTTTGCCCACGAAAGCTTATACTCCTACACTTCAGTTAGTCTATAAGGTGCCACAGGACTCCTCATCGTGTCTCTATATATTTATCTTAGAATTACTTTTTACAGCCGCTATCCATATGGTATCTAAGTGCAGAATTACCAGTTTCGCAAATGAGCATGTAAAAATGCATTATAAAATAGACTGTGTCATTTATTTTGACAAGTGTGGTTTTATTTTAATGATGTATGATAATGCTTTGAAGTATTCCAGTAAAAGCCATACCGTATTGTGACAGAATATTCCTGTCTGGTCACACTCTCCACACTACTGTAATATTTTTTGTACAAGACGTGTTTAAAATCTTCATAATTTGATGATCAATAATACAGCAAAAAGCACATAGCAGCATCATATGCGAAGTTATAAGTGTACATTGAAATTAGTAGTTTTTTCTGAAAAGTCTGGAGAGTGGACAAACCAGTTCCTTCAGAAGATGACGCCTCAAGCAGGTATAAGCAAGGTACCTGCAGCTAAGTGGATGTTCTTTGGCAGAAAGGGGGTGGAGAGGAAATAATCTACACCTTGGCAGAGAAACAGTATGGGGTTCTCTTCACGCAGGCTAAGTCTACACAGGCACTTTACAGCGCTGTAACTTTCTGGCTTAGGAATGTGAAAAACACACACACACACATACACACGTACACACATACACACACTCCTGAGTGCAGCAAGTCACAAGTGCAGTAACGCACCAGTGTAAAACAGGCTACAATACTGGGAGTCATGCTCCCAGTGCTGTTGGTTACTCTCCTTGCGAAGGTGGTTTACATAGAGCCCTGGGAGATCTCTCTTCCAGTGCTAGTGCCTTGGCCACTTTCAGTTTAAAGTGAAGTTGAAAGTGTAGACAAAGCCCCAGACTGCCTGTCACTGATCTTCCAGCTGGAAATGCTTCTCAAACTGGGGACAGGACTATAATGAAAGGGCAGAAACCCCAAGGCTCCCCTCTCCCTCTCCCCTTACCCACTGCATTCACTGCACTGGAAGAGATAAGGGGGCAACCATTAGACTTTGAGTCCTGACCGAAAAAGTCTGGTCAGTAAAACTACTTAAAATTATGAGGTGAGGAAACTTTGCTTTGAATCTAATATAGTTTGTTAGGTGATACACTAATTGTTTTACCTTCATTTCTCTTGTATCCTGTTCTGACATTTCATCTCATACTTGTACTCATTTAAAATCTTTCTTTACATTTAATAAACTTGTTTTACTGCTTTATCTAATCCAGTGTATTTAAACTGAAGTGGCTGAGTACCTCCATGCAGGGTAGCAAGTTATGTGCATACTATTCCCTTAAAGGAATAACCAACTCAGTACAGGTGGTGTGCCCAGGAGGGGGTTGAGAAGTACAAGTTTCTTTGGTAGAAATCTGGGACTGGGAATGTGTTGTGGACACGCTATGGTAATCTTTAAGGCTGATAAGAGCTAAGATGTGGCTGGCTGGCTGCAGCATACATGCCCTGCATACACACAGAGCTGGGAGAAAATAATATTCTGGAGGGTGTTTGGGTGCAGTTCAGGTTATAGGCAATAACTGAAAAACCTTGTAAAGACAGGTTACAGGGCAGGAGTGACACAGTCACTTACTGGTCTAGACTGTACGTCATAAGTACACCTTAACATATTTTTCAAAAGTAATGAAGCCTTAGAAACATGCAACCTCTCACTTTTCATTCTGCCATTATATTCTTGCTGAACAAGAGAGAGGCTACTATCATTTTTGTGTGCACCTCAGGAAAAGATGATTTGCAATTAAGTGAAGTTTTTACCGTACTTTTTCAAAGAGAAAGGGAAATTTCAGCAGCAGTACAACCACCATAGCACTGCAGTATTTGAGAACATGGCCAGGAAACACAAGCAAAAAATCAACACTGGAGGGAGAATTTAAAACACTGATGATCTTATATGCTAACTTTCAAATACCTATTCATGGTACATTTATGGAGCAAAAATAGCAGGTTGAGATCCCGCAACTTCTTTCCCAAAGGAGTGAAAGCACCACTGAAATCATAACCACAGCAGTGCAAACAGCAGTGGAGAGAGGGCCTATGTAGGGGTGGCAAAACCACTGCAAGCTAGAAGATATAGGACTGGGGCCTAAATGTGGAGGGGCTTGTCTACACTATACGGAAGATCAATGCTGCCGCAATCGTATTAGCAGGCCTAGTGAAGACATACTCATTTGAACTGAGAGTGTGCTCCCATCGGCGCTAGTAGCCCTGCTCCTCACAAGGAGTAAGGGAAGTCGATGGGAGCGTATGGAAGTCTGTGTGGACAGCGTGAAAACACAATGTAAGATAAGCTGCGTATCTTAAGTCAACTTGCACCTTTAGCGCAGACCAGGGCTAGGTGACTAATAAAACCGGAAGAAATTCCAATATTTCATATAAATACACCAAAATATAGATTTTATTCTTTTCTTTTAACAAATCAGACATTTTCAATAGAAGATTAAACTATTTGATCACTTTTATAGTGTGCCTTGCCTATAGTGTGTATTAGGGTAAAAGAGAATGATCCCAAGGTATGTTATACCATTCTAATGTCATTCCTTGCCCTGCATTCAGGTGTACCCACTAAATTTGTGGGATACTATAATCATGCTGCAAGATGGAGACTATTCTGTGCAACAAACATCAACCTTAAACTCAAACCTTTTGTACAGCAGCACCTACCACTGACGGTGCCTGCACGTTACTGCTCTTTTCACTTTGTCTATTAATATCTGGAAGATCTTGACTGCAATATTAGCCTAAAACCATCCCTAAACTTAACTGCGTGTGCATGAGCAGATGTATGTGTTCTTCCATAAGGGAAGAACACATACCTGTATGGATCAGAACCAGATTTCAAAATCAATAATGTTGAGAGCACATGTGCTCTATAACTCTTCTCACAATAACCATAAAGATATTCTACAGTAGGTAAACATCACTAATAAACTCCAAAATTATATAAACTCTATTTAAGCACTCCCTCTTCATAATTTCCCCCATTGTATTTTGATATAAAATATTGTATCTACCATATGGTCATGCTGCTCCCCACCCTTCTCTAACGTAACACACACACACACACGACTCAGTTTACATAACCACTCTGCTACATATTCAGCCTCCACAAGCATATACTCTAAAACTCCAATTCAAAATGGCTTTCATTCATCACACGCTGTGTATGTAAAAATATGTATGGATGGTCAACAAAGTTTCTGATAATCACAATGTTGAAAAAATAGCTGGCCAACACAAGTATAACCGCTGCCATTCTGCTTTGCCTATGGTCCATAACCAAACCCCTGATACAAACACTAATACATTTTTTGAAAGCTTGGAACCATATCCACATTTTAACTTTATGCTAATCTTAACTGTGTAGGGGGTTGAGCTAATATCACAATCTTGATTCTGTTGAACTTTGGGAAGATTGAGATCTGTATTTGACCTTTAAATCTCTACATGGACTATAAGGGGCATCGTACATAAAGGTTCAACACAGAAGATGAACTAAGTCTGCCTCCCAATACAATACTTAATTTGCCAGTGGACACAATGAATTACGAGAAGGAGCCATCATGAATTTTTACAACATTCTGCAAAGTACCATAACTAAGAAAATGTACTTCCAATTACATCCTCATGTCAGCCAATCATATACTGTTGTAAGAGTGGAAAGGACACGTAACTCCAGATATGAAAACCACTTGTCTGGCGCTACTCGCTAAGTTAGAGTTAATTCTAGCAGGAAAGCTATCCTGTCTGCAAAGGTATTTGATTTAGTCTGAACCTCATCTGTTTACTCCATCTCTAAAAGAAATTTAGGGATTTCTAACAAAATATACCAATGTGGTTTTGGTACTCACCTTACATCCCTCACAAGCACTGACACCATAATGATATCCAGATGACTTGTCCTGACAGACAAAACAGGGCTTGTAAACACGAGGAGGAGGAAGAGGGGAAGGTGGACTTGGGACAAGTTCTTCAGAACTGGTACTCTGAGTTTCAATGGCTACAAAAGAAAAAAGAAATTACCATTTTAATGCATTACCTTTGACGTTTATATAGTCCACTGTTATCCCTTGACAGCTATTAAAATTGTGTATCACAAGCATATGTTTAGACTTCTTAGCAACATTTAAGAAATGCCATCAGATCCACACCTTGTCTCCCCAACACAGATGTATTTTTTAAAATGAGTAAGATGCATAAATTCAGCCTTTTCCATAATTTTATCATCCCATATTCCAAAAGGCACATGATGTCAGATCCACATGCTGCGCCAAATTCCATCCTAAGATTACACATACAGACACACACACCCCACACACTAGTTAATCCTTTAAATTAGACTAGGAAATGAATTTGGGCATCAGGGGAGAGAATTCAGATCATATTTTTTTTGGATTGTGCCCTTGGAAGTATACCCGAGCGATGGGTGCACATTCGAGCACAGAATTTGGTCTTTGATGGGGAATGACTTGAGAAATACCTATCTATCTAATATATATCTTTTAGCTAAATGTGCTGTGAAATCACTCTTCTTCTTCCACAACAGAGACAGAATTTTCAGGATGCAAAGTCTGTTATGGAAGGATATGGAAACCAATCAATGTGAATTAAGAGACAGACAATTTAAACACAAGAATAGGAGCACAGCATTACCAAATTCTAATCCTACAGCTTCTCCATCTGTACAAAAGACATAACAGTAACAATTATCTGCCTTCTGGTGGGTTAATGTTTGTAAACCATTCTGAAAAAGGACTACTTAAGTATTATGACATCTTGTTGTTTTATTGCCTTAATATTTCTGGATGGACATTTATTTTCAGTCTGTTGAGGCGTTAGTTTCTCCTTTCTGGAAAACAACATGAAAGCTCTGTGAAGCCGTGTGAGACATGTAATCTAGATTGTTTCAAAACATCTCCACTGGTTCTCTCTGATACACCATTATCATAATTCGTATTTATTGTAGATAGGTAATAGATTTTCTTGTTTCAGCAAGTTGTTCTGCTGCTTCTTGGACAAACACTTCTATGTTTCAACAGACACATATAAAAAACTTAGCCCATGAATTTATATCTATACAGAAATATTAGACATTATTTACAGAGCTAATTCTCAACAGTCCTAAAAGAGAACCCTAAAGCAGTGGTTCCCAACCTTTTTGATACCACCAGGGACCGGCAAACCCATTCACAAACTTTTGGCGAACCAGTAACACTTTATTTGCATATTCATTATGCAAATAATGAATACGCAAATATGCAAATAAAATGTTACCAGTTCGCCAAAAGCCCCAGCCCCCAGAATTTCCCAGTGCCAGCTCAACCCCTAGACCTCCCCCATCACTCCACTACCCCCAGTGTCAGCCACTGACCCCAGAGTCTCCTGCACCCAACCAACTTCATGCCAGCTTCCCTCCCTCAGAGCCCCCCACCCCTTAGAGCTCCCCACCTCGCCCCCCATTTCCAGAACACCACTGCACTCAACCACCCCAGAGCCTCCACCCCAGTGCCAGCCCCCAGTCCCCAATATTAGCCCCATCCCCAGAGTCCCCCCATCTCTTAGAGCCCCCCAGCCCCAGAGCCCCCCAGGATTAGCCCTGCCCCCAAAATCCCCACTGCCTGCCCTGCCCCCACACCTAGCCTTGGGCTGCCTCTCAGCTGAACGCTGCTGCCCGTGTTGTGGCTGGGGCAAGGCTGGGGAGGCGTATGCCAGGCTCTTTCCTGCCCGCCCGCCACACAACAAACTGCTCTTCCATGGCTGGGAAGAGACCCCGCACCTGCCTTGCCAGGCCTGGTGACAGCCCAGCCCCCGACACATGCATGGGATTGGTAGTGTCTGTCGCACAAGTGACAGGGGTGGGCGCACATTTCTGGTGGCTCGAGAGTTCCTCCGAAGGTTGTTAACAGTCAGGGCCTAGAGGTGCGGGGTCACTCAGCCTGTGTGTGTGTTTCAGGCTTGCTGCACCCCCCTGACACCCGGGCGGTACTAGCCCTCCTGACACCCGCTGGTTTGAGTCAGGGAGCCCGGCTCCCCCAGCACAACTCTGACTGGCGCTGCCAGCTGCAGTGCCCTGGGACATTAGGAAGTGGCCAGACACATGGTGCAGGCTAGAGCCAGCAGGGGAGATCCTATGTGGGAAGCTGGGCCCTGCCGCAGAAGGGGCGGAAATCGCAGACACCCAGCATGGGACACCCGGTAGGGACAGCCTCACCACGGCCCGACTCCAGCCTTGGTACACCGGGACAGTCTGCAGCACCACTCACCACAAGAAGAGAATTTTTAGTGCATGCAGAGGCGCGTACCTTATAGGGAACGGAGCTCCCCAGCAGGCGGAGCTCATTAGCAGTTGGACGTGTGGCCTGGCAGACTGCTGTGGCCTGGCAGGCAAGGGTTCATGGCCTGCCACTGGTCTGCAGACTGGTGGTTGGGAACCCAAAAGAACATCAGTCAATAGAAAATTTTGAACAAGATACACTGTTTATGATAGTTTCCACATTTTTAAAATGTTACATTTGTATTACATCGGGGACTCATTCCCAATCCGCTTTCTTCTGAATTCAATGACAAGACCTTTGGATGTCAGACAGCCCTTCATTATTTGTTAGAGAATGGGGTCATTTCAGTAGTCCTTATTTAGGCAAAGTTACTATCAACTTAAAGTGTGGGGGGGATTGTTTTCCGAGTAAAAACTAGTAAATCAGGACACAGCGTAAAGATATTCATTGTAATCAAAGGAATGAATAGTAGTAGGAATCAATTTTTGATTTATATATCAATGAGACATATTTATAAAAAAAACAGAGAAGCAAAGAAATATATATATA